TTAATGCTTTACGTTGTGTACACCCCTAGGAAGCCATATAAACTGATGATTTATTTACAATAAGTTATCCCTTGAATAGAAATGATTACCAGTGCAGTAGGAAAAACGTACGGGTTTTACATTGAATTTGAAAATATCGAAGAAAATTCGTTTGGAGTATGAAAAATCGTTAATATAGCTTAAGAAAGCTGTATAGAATCTATGAGTATAGGAGAACTTACAGTTTACAGTGTACATAATCATACCGCCTATGTTTCTATTTGTACTACAAATAAAACGGTAAGGAAATATCTGAATTAGCACCCGTAGCGTAAGGCCGACGAGCTTCTCCACAACGTCCTTAATATGATGCAAAATTAATGTATGCTTAACTAGTAACTATTTTCGTGAAAAATTGTGTGGCAAAAAGTTCCACGTTATAAAAAAAATAGATTAAGGAAGTAAGGCAAGAAAACTAAATTTGTTAAGTTTGAGCCACGTCAATTCAAGTTTTGAAGTTTGAAGCAAATGGGAAAAAAAGGATGGCCTTACATAAGTGTAAGATATGATTTTTAGTTCGTAATTCAAAAATAATGTAGGCTGTTTAATGGTTGGCGATGCATTGCTATCATATTTTCACTTGCCTTAATTTGTGATTATGTACTGTAACGAGTCTTCTTGGGTAGGATATACTCAGCCAATCCAGGACTCTTTCCAAGAAAATTTATAGTATAAATTTAACTTGCACCTTCGGTTTCGTTCTTATGTTTCGATTTATTTAGTTTTTAGAAGATTGCGATGATCAGCGATTTTAAGAGGCGTAGGAGGAAAAAACCAGCGTGGTGACCCGACTCTTCTTTACCGTTTTAATATTTCTTATCCGTTGCGAACGACTATTAATATATTTACTTTTCCACGTTTTCGTATCGCGGGTTTCTGTAAAAAAGAATAAGTCGCGGGTGTCGTAGCAGCCAATCTCGGCCTATAGGGCCACTCGTCCGTCTCTAACCGTTTCATGTCGCAAGAGAGAGTGTCCATCAGTCGTTCAGGGATAGCGGCTAAACTAAACCTGCCATCCCCTGCCCGTGAAAGTTAACAGTCCTATTAGTCATTCAGGAATGGCGGCTAAGCTAAACCTGCCATCCCCTATCCGTAGAGTCGAAAAAAAAACTTTTCAGTAAAAGTCAACTAAGTACGTCCGTGATCACCTTTTGGCTGCTAACACACAACTGAAAGGCTGAGCGTGGTGCGACATGCTCTTTTATAATCGCGATCACCATCGCTATCCCGTTACAAAGTTGGTTTGACATGCCTACGTGTTACAATGCTGTTCTTACATATCTATCCTTACGTGTGCCAACTGTAGGTCTGATCGAACATGTTTACCTGCATTTACTGATACTACCTTAAGTACTGTCGTATGAACTTATTGCTGGTTTTGGCTTAGGTAACCAAATCGTATGCTAACTTAGGTCTGATCGAACATGTTTGCCTGCACAATATAATACTACTCTTATGTATATTTTATTGTTAATTAAGTACCAACTCATATGATCTTACTGCCAGTACTGGCTTAGGTAACAAGCCAGAACATTTCATACATTTGTATACCTTTCCTAGCTGGGTACATTTTCTTCTCTTTCTCTCTCCTTTTTTCTTACTGATTATCAACAAGACATGTAAGGGACAAACCGGAGTGACTTCTTGGGGTCTACGGGTAGACATTTGTGCGGACGGACTTGTTGTCGCCATCCCTGAAGGACTAGTCGGACTATTGACTTTACGGATAGGAGATGGAAGGTTCGGCCTAATCGCCATCCCTGAAGGATTGATGATTCGTTTGCGACGTGGATCAGGTAGGGACGGCCGAGTGACCCTGCAAGCGGAGGTAGCCTGCTGTGACACCGGCGACGTATTTTTGTCTTTTGTAGGAACTACGAAAACGTGGAAGATAGTCATAGTCGGTCGGAACATTACGAAATATTCAAAGCAACATTAAAGAAAAGTCGGGTCACCACGCTGGTTTTTTGCTCCTACGCCTCTTAAAATCGCTGATCATTGTAATTTTCTAATAAATAAACAAATAAAAGCATAAGAACGAAAACGAAGGTCCAAGTTATTTTTATACTATAAATTTTCTTGGAAAGATTCCTGGCTTGGCTGAGTATACCCTGCCCAAGAAGACTCGTTACAAGGGTAATGTATAAAGTAATGTATAAAGTAATTTTCTGGCATAAAAATTAAAAAATAGAACATATTTGCAACATGCTATAAGTAAAATAACATGGATTGCATGTCCTTCTCATGAAATCACACCCACATGAACACGTGCAAAAAATAGTCGACTACCATCATTTAGTTCATACTTATCATATAATTTTTTCGTTTGTATACAAACATTTTAGTTTTTTTCTTATTAATATTTCAAGCCAAACAACCGAATACGTCAAAAAAAGGAAAACGATTTGCATATACATATCTAGAAAGTATTTACTAAACCGTCAAGCTCTCAGCATACGCAAGCAGCAACGTTAATGATTGTAGAAGTATGCATGCAAGCATGCATGCATTGTTGCATATTAAGCCGCCAGATATGTATGTTTTTTGTTGAATTCTTAGTTGTGGGTGTAACGCTGTAATCGTTTAAATACCTTTTATAACCTCTTTCATGACATTTAGTATAATTTGATGTATATTCGTTATACTTTTTTACATATTTGCTTTTTTTGTTGGTTTGTAATAGACGAGCGGGCTTATTGACTTTAAGCCACTTCGCTCTTATTCATATTGGTTTAGTCATTTTTTAACACATTTTTATAATACGTTCATAATAAAAATATCTTTGTTGATTTAAAAAAATATCAATTTGTATGAACAAATTTATGCACCTTATCAACTTGGTAGAAAAAACACGCTATGCAATCACTTGTTAAACAAATTTAAGTTAAAACCTTTCTAAATACTACAAATCAGAACTGAAAGAAAAGTGCAGAAAAGTATTGTATTGCAGTTTATTGTCAATAAACCCTATAAACCCTATAAACAACGTCACCAATTAAATACCCAATAATTCAATGGTAATAATTTAATGACAATCAGGACTTTTAACAGATTTGTGCAAACCTCACCTTAAGTGTAACGACATGGATCACTTAAATTTTGTTGTGTAACATTTAATTTTTTGCTTTTCATATATGCGAGAGGTTCTAAAAACAGACCTCCATGGTGCACATTCAATAGTTCATCTTCTCACCAATTTCTATGTACTTTTTAACTTTTTTCGCCATTTATTATGGAAAAAACTTTCTGCATATCCAAGCTTATTTTTCGTAAAATGCGGGAATCGGTCCTAAGAGTGGATTTATTGCCTTAAGTCAATGTAACTGATTTTTTTAAGAGAAATTGTAAAAGGAAAAGGATTCGAAATGCAATCCACTCTCTAATTGAACTTTTCAGATTCATTTAGTAAGACTGCATTCGATGTACTATTTATTGTGTTTAGAAATTTTTAAAATCGAACAAAGAGGAAATTCAAGACAGCTACCTTATAACAAGCTTTTAGAAACAATAGCGATAACATTTTAAAAACATAATGATTATGTACGACAAATTTTTAGCAAAGTTCTCTAAAATTGCAGTTCGTGTAAGTTGATTACACAAACACGTGGAAAAAGACACAGATTAAGACTCATGCAGTCAACATTTCTCCCCAGAACAGTCCATTTTTGCGAGAAGCTTTATTGTATTTTTCTAGTGGCAAATATCATTTGGGTACACTTCGGACTATATGCCTCTCGCAAGTCACATATGTTTAAGAGAACGGATGTTTTAAAAGTGGTGATAGCTTTGAAAATATTTCTCTTGAAACTGTATGTGAGGCCCGAATGCTGGCTGCGGTCTTTCGGAAAGTACTCGTGAAGGATATGGTTACCCCAAACGCGTTTCTGTTAAATACTCAGAGGTCTATGGGGAATGGTTTGGGCCATACCCAAGCTTTCATATCTAGTGTTTCAGGCGTGCAATAGGCCTTCTCATTTGCAGGGTTATCTTTTAAGTCATCAGCCAGGCGCTAAACATCGAAGGCATCTGTTCCTGTATGTCCCTGTAAACGCTTTTCTATCTAATATCTATCATTGCTCGATTTACCATGACAAAATGAAGGATAGAAAAATTTTCATTGACACATATACAGACCAAAAGTACATATATCAATAGGCAGAAAAAAGTAATAACAAATATTCATCTAAAACTTAGAACAAAAGTGTCTTCAGTAGGCAAGAGATAATATGGGTTTATAAGTAAACACGGCATGGTATGCGTGATTGAAAAAAAAAGTGAGCCTAAGATCAAAGTGGCATTCTTATTTCTTGTAATTGAAAAAGTATTTTATTCAATGAAGACTTGCGCTATTTGGTCTTTCCTTCTAAACGACTTATCAATAAAGAGAATATTACGTCTTTTTTTTTTTTAATAATAGGGCTTAGAAACTTCCGTCACATTGTTTCGCTAAAACATTTATTTAACTATAGTCTCTAATTGAAAAAGCATCTATAACTGCATCTCGTGTTGATAACTTTACTAAACTTTAAGCACAGTTGAATATTTCGAATTTCAATAAAATCATGCAATATGAAAACGGTGTGTACAAGCTATTAAAGTAAACACTGAGTATCGTGATAAGCTGCCTAATACCATCTTTCCCTAACTACAGATTAATTAATAACTTAAAAGCTATTTAAGCCGCTTTCCATGCTACTTACAATTCGATTTTAATTAAAAAGTCTTTCTGTTTTTGACAAGGATTAAAATTTGGAATAGTATGTTTAAAAGCATTGGAAGTCAATCATATGCCATGTAATTCGAAATTACTAAAATAATTAATAAGAAAAGAATTTAGTTCCGTTATAATTACATGTTAAAAGGGTTATTGAACACTAAGGAAAGGAAGAAAAGAAAATTAACGCGTTTCTCACTTACTTATAATAAAAAATTTCATATCTTAACAAAGAAAAAGTTCTTACCTGGTTTAAAGCCATCCGAATGTTCATGATTTTTGGAGAATTGTAATAAAGTTAGAAATAAATTTATAATAAGGGAAAGCTGTAAAGGCTGCATAATGTTGTAATAGGTCGGTTATTTGTTATTTATGGAGGAGGGACGGTTTTATTGTTCTGCCTGTATATAAGTTTTAGTTAATTTCTTTTCTTTTTTTTTTTTGTTTTCTTATTATTTAATTTATTATATAAATTTTTAGTGGAGGCAAAGCTAGCTGGCTGACCCGTAAACGCCTGGCTAATAATTAAACTTTTTGCTCGAATCAAACATTTTTTTTGTTTCATTATTTTGTCGGTGCAACCACTTTATTAGTAATAATGTTCACTCTACGCTAGACTATGAAAAGCGCAATAACAAAAGCAGATAACCAACCGCCGCTTAGCTCTATTTCACATATAACTTTTTCACAAAATTATACTCGCAATTGAATCATTTAAGATCGTTTTATTTATAAACAAATAATGCATTTTCTTTTTGCTGCGTTGCTACACGTTTTTTAACGTTTTCATTCTCTTATTTTATGGTCCTTTTAGCATTTTCCTGGCAATACATTACTAGATCGTAAGCTCTATTTCAGTAGAACCGTTATGTGGATGTTTGTGTATGTGCAGCATATAGCCTTAAGATGAAACGTGCGTTATTTACGACGCATTACGCAAGTCGGTTATATCATGCTTTTGCATAATTTAAAACTTGTGTTTTATATACATTTTTTGTTGTTATTATTACCATTGTTGCCGTTGCTGTTGCTATTGTCAACAGTGCCATAAAACATTTGCTATAGTTCTCCGGTTTTTTTCTTCTAGCCATTTGTTCTGATTATTATTATTGCCTTTTGCCAACTTCTGCTTTTGCTACCACTACAGCAGCAAGTACAAGTATGCAATTTACTCATAGCTTGGTCAACAACGCTAAAAACCGACACTGTTACACTGTTGTAGTTTCATTTATTTTTCTTTTCAACTCTTAGCTGCCATTAGCATTGACACATTAACTGCAAGAAAATAAAGAGAAAAAGTATTAGAAATGAATATTAAAATACAGTAAAAAAGTTAATTATGAAGATAAGCACAAATTCTATTAATGTGTAGTATTAAATTAATAACATTAACACACCTAACATATGTTCATTTTCTCTTAACAATTAACGTTACTAAGTTGAGATCCGTATTTTTAGCGCAAAACCTTTGTAATTTTCTTACTACAGACTTGATATTTCGTGCAGCAATAACATGCTTGCGTGTATTTTGATCATTTTTTCACTTGGAAAAGGCATTTATTGAGAAAATATGGTACAAAAAATATTTTGCTTTATTATCTATTACTTTTTGTCGAAAGACCGATATTGATTTGACAGCATTGACACTTTTTCGCACTTCTTCAGTACTTCAAAGCCGCTTGCCGTAGCCAAACCAAGCTGCTTCGATCTGAACAAGTGGTAATCTGAAGACACTATCTCTGGTGAATACGGCAAAACTTTTCTTTCGAGCTGGAGGATGGCTGTGCGTCATTGCTTGTCTCTTTTGCAATAATAGGTGGTTCCATTTTGTTCAATTGACGTCGGTACATATCTGCAGTAACAGTTTCATTCGGTTTTAGCCGCTCATAATGCACTGCACCTCGCTGATCCCATCACATTAAAAACAAAGCTTTGAGGCCATGAATATTTCGCTTCGGTGTCGATGTGAATAGTCCTTCCGACTTGTTGCGCTTGGGATGGTTGCAGCGGACCGTCACAGTAAACCCGTACTTTTTTTTGCCTGGCAAGGAATGAAACCACGGTGTTGAAGAAATGCCATTTTCAGTCAATGTGTGTGGTAGCTATTTACACTCCCTTGGCATGTTTCCCATTGCATCTAAATGTCTAAAAATAGTTGATTCGCCAATTGCTAAGTCAGTTGCCAGTTGCTGATCGAAAGTTCTTTGAGAGTTTGAGCTGGGTTTCCGTCCAATTAGTCCTGAAATTCATTGCCTTCGAACTTTTTTGGTCCTCCAAGGCCCTCTTTGCCATTGACATCACAATCACAATTTTGAAGCGTGGAAACTACGACCAACAATTAGAATGTGATGGAGCAACGTCAACATAAGCTTCTAGAAGGGTCTAATAGCCTTCGGCAGCAGATTACTTCAAATCAAACAACAAAAGTAATGAATATCGGAAAGGGAATTTTAAGCATTTCATGATTACCATCTGTATATACTGAGTAACTCTAATATTGAATGGAAAATTATTATCTTTATATTGACAAAGGTTAAAACCATCGAATTCAATCGTTATGTACATCAGTACTTGACATTACTTTTATCACTTTTCCCTATAGATATCGATGATTAAAATACATGCAAGCTCCCATTTTACCGGGAACCATTTCGTAAAAAGAGCAACTGAACATAGTTTCGGCCACAAAATATTATTATTAAGGAGATCGGCAATAAGAAGCATTACCCTACACTGAATTGCATAAAAGACTGATTTTGTGTATTTTTCTGTTTAACAATAGGTACGTTATTTAATTCTACAAAACCAAATTCCTACAACCAATAATATATAAAATGTCGGCTTTCTTACATAAAATGTAAAGGATTGGGTACTGTTGCCAAATAACACATTTAGGGTTTAAACGCATGTAGATCTACTACGGGTGTTATGGCACGCTATACCTATTACCCGAAGTAGCATAATTTAAAATAATAAATTTGAACGATTAACACAAAAATCTCGTAGATGCAGTCGACTAAAGATCAATTTAATAGCCCGCACTAGTATTTGGAAAAGCAAGAAAGTATATATACTCTACTCTGTGCGAAGAGAAAGCCGAATATAATAGAATCTCCAATTCTCCCAACTGTTCATAGGGAATTGCGGGACCTATTTCACGAACAATTACTTCTCATAATAATAGATCTAACATGTCTTCTAAAAGCTATTAAGGCGCGGACAGTGTTACCAAACTCAGAGGATAATTCAAGAGAGAAGTTATTGCTTTATTACCATTATCTTTGAATAATCTATCCGTTGAAAATAGAAGTATTGCTCGTTGCTATAGAAGGTTCTTGTAATTTTTCATTTTCTTGACGAACTATATTTATTTTGTTTGGTTGTCCATCCGTCCGTCTGCCATTCTTCTGGTCGCAAAAGTTAACATACTGTCTACAAGTTTGACGAAAATATTGGATAATATTGCGTGCAGGCCACTACTGAAAATGGGCCTATTATGTGAAGGGACAGGTCTACTAATCAATTCAACATAAAACGCAAACAGCCCATTTTCTGGAAGCCAGAAAAACGTTGGCAGGTTTCTATAGGCCATTGCTTACTGAAACTTTACAAAAACGAGAATAATCGTCCGGGTCCGCCTTTTAGTAGTAGCGTATCGAGGTTGACATTTCTTCGCTTTTTTTAAGGGAAAGATGGAGGCGAGTATTATCGACTCGGCCGCTGCCGAATATGATTTTTTTACTTGACAACTTTCTATTCTGTACTTAACCTCAAGGTGACCAATTTTCTTTCTGCTCGGATAAATTATGTTGCCGATAGGCTTCTTTTAGTACTTGACGAACGTCTGCAATGAAAAACAACACTCCGCGCAAATGTTGTGTTAATGAACGAAATCGAAAAGAATACATGGAAGGGCTTCAATGAATTGGGGAAATGGATGGACGAAGGAAGATATTACTTTGGAATTTAAAGGTGGAAATCGGGCTTTTTAACTTAATTTTTACTATTTTGAACACGGTGAGAACGTACCTACGTACGCGGCGGACAAATTAAAAAGCGTAGCAGAAATGGTTCGAACGTTCTTTCCAAATAGAAACATTTTCAATTTGGGTGTACCGCAAACGCAAGATTTAGAATATTTTCTTCTCTCGGTAGTGGATAGGGAAAGCATTATAAACAAATTTTTTTTATATTTCAAATCACTAAGTTTAAGACTATTAGCACTTAGGAATCTCTGAACAAAGTTAATAAAATAAATCTTTACTTAAAGCTATGTTTATATAAAAACATTTGGGTACATACACATATATGCGTTTACTTTTATAACTCAAAATGTTTTATGCTACCTACCTACGACGTTGAAGTGTATAACAATTTGTTGCTCTAAGCATGTTTCTGCAGACATACATACAAGGGTTGTTACATGTAAAAGTCTAGGACGAGCGAATAATAAGATAATCTTAAAAAGAAAAGACGAAAAACCATTTGTTCACATAAGTGAGAATGAAGTGGTGCTAGAAAACACTTCATTATGAAACTTTTCCAAGAAAATGCAAGGAAGTATATACTCACTTAAATAGCAAATATATATAAAAATATTATTTCAAAAGGTTATACCTACTTAGAAACATTATTCAATCGGCTGAGTCATAAACAATTAGTTTTTGAGTCACCCTGGCTGGAACTTATTAACTCTAAAGATTTGATGCAACATAATGCTGTGTTAGACCAACGTTCAAGTTAAACAAATACCAGAAATATATTGTTTTTAAATTGGTGACCACTGCACTAGCAAGAATAGAAGTTCAGAAACTAAAATCAGAGAAATGTTTGCAAAAAAATATTCCTTTCGGAGAACATTGCTTTTCAGGGAAGTTTTTATAATTAAAATAAAAAGGGGCCTTTTAAGTATTCTAAGGGAGAATCTCGTTTTGCTGACGTGCTGAGGCTAATATCCTTATTCAATTGAAGAAATCTCATCAATGGTAGATCTTCTATAAACACAGTTACTCACATTTACTTTATAAATACCAAAGTAATCCATTCCACAGGGTCAATTTAACACAGATAAGGTCAACGAAGACTCTGCTGCTGCTACTAAATCTGCCATGAACCATTCACCTACACGATCAGATGTGATGACGGCTCTCTACCACGAAAACTGCGCCAATATTGTTATGATTAACTACACATGCAGCAGTCCTTCAAATCAAATGCACAATCTATCGCCACCGAGATCGATGGGCTCAAGTTCGACAACCAGTAAAGATTTTGCTACTAAGGGGAGGTATATGCAGCCGCAAATTAAAGTGAAATATAAGTTACAGAAAAAACATCCGCTAGAAACAAATTGATAGGCGTGATCCTCAGCTACTTCGTACTGCTGTTGCAGTGCCAATCAAGACGATATCAGATTAGGAACAAATTGACTGCTATCGCATTCGACATCTTTCTGGCGCATTTTCTGCGTAGAGTGTCTGTTATACTTCGAATAATATACCTTAAGATTCAATATATTCCATATTACCATAAATTCGGCCCCACTTTTCTTGCGTATCAACTACCATGATAATATTAAAGCTGCTTTGTAGGCAATTTGAAAAAATTGTAGGCTTAAAAACCAAGGAATGCTCAATATTGGTATAAAAAAAAAAATTGAAACTTAAAACTATTTGCAGTGCAAGTAAAAGACTTCTCACGTGTATCGAAGCATCTGGTCTTATTAAAGAGCTATACAATTCTTCACTTATCCCGAAGCTTGAGAAGAAATTGTCATACCACTTCAAATTAAATTTAATCTTATGACAGTTAATTTCAAAATAGACTCCTCAGACTCTTTTAAATAGTCTCTTAAAATTTTCGTTGTGTTTGATAAACATTATAAGAATCTGAAATTGCTGCTCATGTAAAGTGGTTAATATCATCCCAAGCACAGTAAAAACATTCGAGCACAGAAGTGATCGGCAAAAACATAATGTTAAGAGAGGAGGAGATTTTTTAGATTTTAAGTATTTACAATTTTTAATTATAAAAAAAAAAACATATATATCTATCATTTCTATCTATTTTGAAGAAACTTGGTACAGTGACGTGTTCTGACCCAAGGACGAACGTTATTGAAAATGGTTCAGATCGGTCCACTTTTTCGACCACTCTACATACAACGCCCTATTCTAAAAAGTCGTTATATGGAAAAAAATTGTAATCTTCAAAATTTTTTGACAAAATTGGCTAAGTAGTAGTATTCCGGCACTCTAAATTGGTATGGAACCTTT